CATACACCGTTCAAACTAGGCTGCTTATGTTGAAGTGTTCGGGATGTGGTTTTTAATGAGGAGACCTTTTTTGTAATCAGGCTCTCAAAAAGTATATAAAAATTTGGATATAGATTTATCGGCCAACATATCGGTTATCGGCTTTCAAAAATAAAGAATTATCGGTTATCGGTATCGGCCAAAATTTTCATATCGGTGCATCCCTAGTGTCAACATTTCATGTGTGTACAGAATACAGGAGTTACTTGCAAAATTATGATGATTGACATGGCGATAACTAAAGCCATATTTTGAATTATCACAGCTGTAAAGTAGAACATGGATGCCAACAGTCTAATTTGTTTGGTGGAGCTGTTTTTGACCAATGTAATATCAAGTGATTAATGTTTTACTGTCTGGCATGTTTTGTTTTTGGTCATCACGCTGATGATTTTAAATTCATTATGCACTGAAATTTTGGCAACCAAAAATATTTATCCAAAGCCAAAATGTATTCTAAAATAAATAAATAAAAATCAAACTAGAGAGAGGAGCATTTTGCTAAACTGTTGTCTACATGTTTTAATTTGTTAGAATGAATCTGTCAAGGAAACAAGTTATTACAGCTGCTGTTTAAATGTGTATATATATATTTCAACAGCTAATTAGATTAGAAACATAATTATATCATTAAAGCTGATATGAAAAACATGCAATTTGCCTAAAAGCATGCAGTTTAAGTGTCTATTTCAGTATTTCTATCATTATTAATCAATTATTTAAATCAAATTAATTTCAGGATATTTTCAGTTTCGCCTAAATTTTTTTTTTTTCTCTGTAAAAAAATTGTGCATCACTATTTCAAACTAAAACTGATTACTGAAGTCTGTACAGAAGCAGTGTATTCGTGCTCAATGGCACATTATCAAAAAATATGTCAGTCTAGTCCAATATCTGTCTATTCAAATATTTGACTGTCTAGACTGTATTAATGTTCTTTTGCTTTCACTGTTGTTTTAAACTGTCATGTATTATTGTTCTCTTTCCATGGCTGTATAATCAGCAGCTGTAGTTGTAGTTTCTTTTAAGCGCATCGCATTAATTGTGATAAGTGACCTTGAGTATTGACTCGCATTGTCTTCCCATCAGCGCACAAACCGGATGCCAAAGGATATTCATGTTGAGCCAGAGAAGTTTGCGGCGGAGCTCATCAGCAGGCTGGAGGGGGTGCTAAAGGAACGTGAGGCGCAAGAAAAACTGGAGGAGCGGCTCAAGAGAGTTCGACTGGTGAGTGCATCCCAATCGTCACGTCACTGCCGTATTTTCAACTATAGTAGTTTTTTTGTTTCCCCTTGTATCAAACTCCGATGTCTCTGCCACTTCTGTTCATGAGCGAGACAGTCGGATGTGTTCTAAAGACTTCCTGTCTTATCAAGGGGGTCTTTTCTGTTCAGTGTCAGGTGAATCATCTGCCGAGATTGAGCTACTTGCTAGTCTGCCTCAGTGTAATGACTTTGTTTGAAGTCAGTCGGGGCGTGAAGAAATGCTTGCGCACACCGCAAATGGGAATCTTTTTCCCGACTCAAAGCCAGGTGTTAAGTCTCAAGGCAGATTATTTATGTAGTTTGGCCTCCTGTAAGAGGAACGTCTGTCACAGAACAGTGACTTTGAGCAGGAGGAGGAATGTCATTTGTCTCCTAATTGATATTCTCACTGGAGCCTCGGCTTTCAGCAAACTTGTTTTAAGTTTTCTCTACCTATCAGCTGAGCAACCGTCTTCTATATACAGCACTTGCTGTCTTCGCTCCACTGAGCAGGACGGACTCTGACAGTTAAACATGTTTTTGCCAGCAACTGAACCTTGACAAGTCTGAATAAAGTCTGATATCGCCATTCTGGGGTGTTATTCAGTCAATTTCGGACAGAAATCAGTTTTTAGAGGTCGAAGCGGCACAATGAAAATTGGCTGCTTTGCGCATTGCGGTTGTATATGTCAGTCTAGTCCAATATCTGTCTATTCAAATATTTGACTGTCTAGACTGTATTAATGTTCTTTTGCTTTCACTGTTGTTTTAAACTGTCATGTATTATTGTTCTCTTTCCATGGCTGTATAATCAGCAGCTGTAGTTGTAGTTTCTTTTAAGCGCATCGCATTAATTGTGATAAGTGACCTTGAGTATTGACTCGCATTGTCTTCCCATCAGCGCACAAACCGGATGCCAAAGGATATTCATGTTGAGCCAGAGAAGTTTGCGGCGGAGCTCATCAGCAGGCTGGAGGGGGTGCTAAAGGAACGTGAGGCGCAAGAAAAACTGGAGGAGCGGCTCAAGAGAGTTCGACTGGTGAGTGCATCCCAATCGTCACGTCACTGCCGTATTTTCAACTATAGTAGTTTTTTTGTTTCCCCTTGTATCAAACTCCGATGTCTCTGCCACTTCTGTTCATGAGCGAGACAGTCGGATGTGTTCTAAAGACTTCCTGTCTTATCAAGGGGGTCTTTTCTGTTCAGTGTCAGGTGAATCATCTGCCGAGATTGAGCTACTTGCTAGTCTGCCTCAGTGTAATGACTTTGTTTGAAGTCAGTCGGGGCGTGAAGAAATGCTTGCGCACACCGCAAATGGGAATCTTTTTCCCGACTCAAAGCCAGGTGTTAAGTCTCAAGGCAGATTATTTATGTAGTTTGGCCTCCTGTAAGAGGAACGTCTGTCACAGAACAGTGACTTTGAGCAGGAGGAGGAATGTCATTTGTCTCCTAATTGATATTCTCACTGGAGCCTCGGCTTTCAGCAAACTTGTTTTAAGTTTTCTCTACCTATCAGCTGAGCAACCGTCTTCTATATACAGCACTTGCTGTCTTCGCTCCACTGAGCAGGACGGACTCTGACAGTTAAACATGTTTTTGCCAGCAACTGAACCTTGACAAGTCTGAATAAAGTCTGATATCGCCATTCTGGGGTGTTATTCAGTCAATTTCGGACAGAAATCAGTTTTTAGAGGTCGAAGCGGCACAATGAAAATTGGCTGCTTTGCGCATTGCGGTTGTGTTTGTGTTGTGTATCCCACCTAATCTCCTTTTTTTTTTTTTTAATTCTGGCATGATCTGTCAAAGATCATCCCAGAGCGCTGACCCACACAGCTGTTGAGTAAAAATCAAATGATGCATTTGCCAAATCCTCAAAATTCCTCATCTCCTTGGACTTCACTACCTGGAGAGAGAATCAAAGCATTGCACACAAATGACCTGCTGTGGTTTCAGCTATAATAACTCCATTCCACTCTCTGCTGTTCTGTTTTCAGTGTTTCTTTTTCTGGACACAGCTCTATTCACATTTGTTTTTCGTTCTCACCAAGGCAGCATTTATTTAATAGAAAAAAAATTAGGGATGCACTGATACCACTTTTTTTTTTAAGTGGTATCAGTGCATTAAGTGGTTTTAAGTCCGATACCGATACTTTCCTTTTTGGTACTCGCCAACACCGATACCTGTATTTTCACAGCATTTGTAAATTTTTTTTTTTTAAATATTGGGTACAGAAACATAATATGAATCATGTTAGTTGGCTTCATTTAGCAAACAGATATTACCTTCAGTTATTTCCACACTTAATTATACCTGTTAAAATGTATTGCATAAGCTTTTGTTACTTTCACTGTTCATTTTAATGGCACATTAGAGCTGCTCCATTGCAGCAGCTCAATACTGTAATCACAAAACGTTTTCCTAAAATAATGCAGGGAACCACTCATTATACATTATACGAGTGCACACGTACTATTTTGGTGATGTAATTTGCGTCACAAGCAGTGTACACGGACACACGGACCCGAGTAAAACCGGAAGTATACTTTGGCCTTTAAAGCAAGCTAAACATACATGCAATACACACGTTTGTATTTTTGTATTGTGAGAGAGATACTTGCAGCCTAGCGCATTTCACCCAGTCTGCTAGTTTCACTTCTGCTTTAAATAAAGTTGTGTATGCTTGACATTTAAAATAAATGTTGTTTTTATTGAATGACCCTATAATTTTTGTTTGTTTTATATTTACGATTTCGTTTTAATCCAAATGTATGCGCTAATGGAGCAAACAGCAATCAAGATCATGCAACAGAAGAGTGTGTGCTCTCTCGGACTCTCTCTCTCGCTCTCCTAACCGTCAAATAACTTTAGTAACTTGTGCATTGTTTTACTTTGTTTTGCTTTTGACATATCTGACCGAACTGCAAACTTTCCAGTGATGTCTGTGAGATGTTATATAGGTGTGAATATTGAATGTTTAACATTATATTAATTGCTTGCATGTACTTCATAGACATCCTTAATTAACCCTTATAATAACTCCATTCCACTCTCTGCTGTTCTGTTTTCAGTGTTTCTTTTTCTGGACACAGCTCTATTCACACGCTGTGTGGTATCGGGGCATTTTTACGAGTACAGGAGTGCAGTATCGGTACCAGTATCGGTATCGCTGCATCCCTAAAAATAAAATTCTGAAATATTACAATTTAAAATAAGTTTTCTATCGAGAAGCATTATCAATATTATCTTATCAATATTGAAAACAGTTGTGCTGCTTATTATATTTATTATTAAATGCTAATATTTTATGAGATATGGATACCGTGATACAATTTTTCAGGGGTTGTTTGATATAAATAGATTATAAATAGAAAGTTGAAAAGAACAACAATTATTTGAAATGGAAATCTTTGTAACAGTAAAAATTTGTTTTTCTTCTCAATTTGGATCAATATAATGCTTCGTTGCTGAATAAAATTAATAATTTCTTTAAAAAAAAAACTGAATGGTAGTGTGTATATAGTGAGATGGCAATTCAACAGTCAAGTGCAACATGTTCATATAAAATGACACTTTTTTTGTTGTTGTAACAATCAGTAAAGACAACACAAAGGCATAGTTTACTAAACACTGCATAGTTTAGCCCACATCAACAATACAAGCAGCAATGTCAGTGCATTACAACCAACTAAATTTAACTTTACTTGAAATTGTTCCTTAATAATGGTATTGATTAAAACGGCTAAACATTTACATAAAATGGTTAATTTTGTGGGGAAAATGATCCGAATTACTTGACATACCAGTATTCATGAACTACTGCAAACGCCCCAACCCAGAGTGACACAACCTCAATCTGTAATTTGCTGAATATTATTATTATTAGAATAAAGATATGGTGGGAACGCTGTTACAGTTGAATTAGATTTAGGTTATGGCTGCTTTCATAGACAAAACTATGCTTTTTCATTGTCTGCAAGTAACAATACAGAATGTGACTAAAATGCAATTTAGTCACCAGACCATGAGTAAAACTACATTTGTCAAAGAACTCAGTGTTTTTTGCCAGTAAAATCAAAATTGGAGAAGGGCACAACAAATTAGCAAGTAAAATATTAAATCTTGTTAAGGGAACAGGCATGTCAGATCATTTATAATCTGAAGAGAGGTCTGCATGTGGAGAAGGGCTTTCATAATTAAAATGAATATTGAAGTCATGTTTTGGGCAATGAGGGAATTTACTCATGGCTGTTTGAGGTCATTGTGTGTTTTCAATGTGACCATAACAAAGGCATATCAATGGAATCTTAGGAAAGCTGTAAACGTATGACATCTGCTGGTTTAAACATGTTACTGCACAGTGATTCTACAGCCCATTGTTTTCTACAGGAGACTTGCTCCACCTGTCAAATTTGACTTATTTAGTCACTATAAAATGTTTTTTTTTCTTGAGGAAGATGGTTTCAGATGGAGCATCTCTGGCTCCAAGAAGGCTCAGAGTCACGAGGTGATGAGGCCCAGCTCGGTGGAGCGGCCGGGGGCTGTGCACCCTTGGGTTACCGCTCAGCTCCGCAACAATGTGCAGCCCTCCCATCCCTTCATCCAGGATCCAACCATGCCCCCCAACCCAGCCCCTAACCCCCTCACCCAGCTGGAAGAGGCACGCAGGCGGCTTGAGGAAGAGAGGAGGAAGTCTGGAACATTGCAGGCTAAGCAGAGGTGAGAAGACATGTTCACCTGAACACCATAATTCATATATGATTCACAGTGGCTTGATTTGTTATTGCATGAAAATAATCTCATGCAGTTTGCCTTTGGGTCAATTATGCTTATTCTTTAGGCCAGATCCATTTGAAAATGCACTAAAAAAAGCACTTTATGCACAAATTACCTGACTATGCCTTTTTATGATCATTTCAAAATTAAAAATGTTGATGTTTTTGGGGGAGAATGTCGAAAATATCAGGATGAAACATTTCTAATATGGTAATGAAGAAAAATGTATCTTGAAAGAATTCAGTTCTTGAGAAGGGCCTTAAAAGAAAGTGGTTTGGCATTATTATTATTATTATTATTATTATTATTATTATTATGACAGATTTCTGCCAAATCAGACATGCAGTTAAACGACTGTGCTGAAACAAGCAGTGAAAAATAAAACCAGAAATGATATCATAGAAAGGACCCCTGCTGAGCCTCATGACTGTATGTCAAAGTCACTTAAAGTGTCATATAATTTGACCCATTTACAACAAGGAAAGGTTCATCCAGACGGCGTGTCTTCATGGTGTGACTTCAAAAAAATAAAAGTATGATAATTAATGAAATTTGTAAGATTTGTAAGTTGACTAAGAGACACTTTTGCATGTATTTGAGGTGTAAGGAAAATGCTATTACGGTTTACATACTAGTTCCACCACTTGACATTCGAGTTGTTAAATTGACTGTTTTGTTGAAAATGCTATTAAAGTTTTAAAATCCATATGAAACCAACATGAACAAATTCATGTTAATTTTTTTTTTTTTTTGCATTTACAAACTTTGCTTTATAAACTTAATGTTTCTTCATCTTGTAAGTTATTTGTCAGTGATCCCTCTACGACCCATAATGCACCACGCAAGGCAGCGTCCTCTTCGACATGTTCCTACACACATTGTGACTGGCTTAGGTGCATGAGTATAATGAGGCGACTTGAGCCTTCGAACGCAGTGGGTGTGTCTAACTCGGGGTTGTTCCTCAGGTATGTGATGGAGGTGATCCAGAGGGGTCGCACCGCTGTAAGGCCCGCTCTGTTCCCCACGCTCAGTGTGGTGCCCGCCGTCTCCGACATGGAGCTCTCCGAGGCCGAGTATGTCCTCCATACTTCTCCATAGAGCGTAGCCCTTCCCTTCACCATCCCATGCTACCGATACATGCACCTGCATGTGTTTGTCAGGGCTGTGCCTTTACGTCGTTAACTAACACTTCTGTGTGTTGCACTATTCAGACTTCCTGTGCATAGCTTTTAAAGGAATAGTTTACCCAAAAATGGAAATGTACTCACCAGATATGGATACATTTAGCATTACATCACTTGCTCACCAGTGGATCCTCTGCAGTGAATGGGTGCCGTCAGAATGAGAGTCCAAACAGCTGATAAAAACATCACAGTAATCCACATGGGTCTAGTCCATCAATTATCTTGTGAAGTGGGAAGTTGCGTGTTAAAATGGTGTTAAACAAATATGTTGGTGAATTTTGATATAAGAGGACAGCAGGGGATGGATTTGTTTTTCCACTGGAGCAAGTGTTATGGATTATAGATTGGTGTTTTGTCTGGAAGCAACGGTTCAGAGTTAAAACGCCTTAAAGGCACAATATGCAAGTTTTCGCCACTAGAGGTCACATTTTCAAAACAATAACAAAGGCGAAGCTTGATGAAGCTATGAAGCAGGATGTTCACGGATGAGGTAATGAATTAATTTTTTATTACCTGTACCTTCCACAGCTATTGAAACTGTGAATAGATTATACAGAGAATGCGAGCAAAGAGCATTTACATTGTGAAAGAACATTATGACTGATTTGAAGTCGAAGCGTGAGTTTTAGTACTCTTTAAAAAAAACTCCTTATAATCAGGAAAGCTGTCTATACATGGTTTTATGAATGAATCTTGTACATCATACTTACATCTGCACTTTGTTGTTTATGATGAGAAAATTCGCGTGAGAGCTGAATTCAGTCAGCGAGCGCCGTGCACTGAACAAAAACTCATCTGAATGCCTCTGATTGGCCATTGCATTCATAAGCTCGACACTCATGTGTGATTGGTTATAATGCGCAACACTGTAAAAACGTGTAAAAAATCATGGCGCAACACTGAGCAGATCTTAATTTAATGCTGCGGTCATCACTTTTCATTCATTTTATTCGCGACAGCCGTAATGGATTTAGTTTAACTGTACAGCAGCATTTGTGTCTGTGTGTTGCCAGAGTTTCTACGAGCGGAAACTGGGGATATGCGGATATTACGTCATTGATCGGCAACAATGACCAGGGACGAGTCAATATTTAAAATTGGAATTTCTCTGGATTTACAAATCCTTCACTGCAGAAGATCCATTGGTGAGAAAGTGCTGTAATGCTAAATTTCTCCAAATCTGTTCTGATTGAGAAGCATCTCGACTGGCCTGAGGGTGACTACATTTTCAGCAAATTGTCATTTTTAGGTGAACTATTCCTTTAAGAATGTAATGTAGTTTGACCAGCTTTAGTACATAGTTTCTCACAGATTTGGTTGCAGTGAAGTGTTGTTTCCGGTGTATTAACCGCTGATAAGCTGCAGGAGAATGAGAGGCCGTGGATGTGTGACTGCTCCTAATGCAGATATGCAGTTTAGTGACATTAAAGCTTTGGTGTGGATGAGATGAAAGCGGCACATCGGTGCCAGTGTTTTTTTTTTTCTTTCTGAGGAACATTTGTCAGGCATCTGGAATCCATTTTACTTGGCAACAGTAAACCGATCCTCTGACGCCCACCAGCACTTGTGCCCACTTCAAGCCCAGCAGAGCACATACAAGAGCCTTTGAAATACGGCTCTGGTCCAGACATCCTTTCGGGATGTTGTACTTCTCACTTTGTTGCTAGAAAAGCAAACTGCATAATTTTGTTCCTTCTTGTAGAACAAATGTTTGATATGTTTGTCAAGGGCCTCTCTGTTCATTTGCAGGCATAAGAATATGAAGAAGCAGCCCTGTGAGAACATCATCGTGGCCTATTACTTCTGTGGAGAGCCCATCCCGTACAGGACATCCGTCAAAGGAAGAATCGTCACGCTGGGACAGTTCAAGGAGCTGCTTACTAAGAAAGGGAGCTACAGGTAAACCTTTGCCACTTGTCATGTTCTAGTTTTTGAGAACCTTCTGTAGTGTTTAATTTAGATGGCTCACACAAAAATGAAGACCCTGTCATCATTTACTGACCTTCATATTGTTACAAACTATCTTCTGCGGAACACAACAAGAGACTGTGTTTATCAGTCTTGGACTGAAACTTTGAAGCTTCACAAAAGCCAATATCAGTATGAAAGTATAATAAAACTGATCCTTACAACTCCACTACACTCCTTACAAAAGCATTATTCAGGTTTTCTAATGTCAGTCAGTAGCTTTGTTTGAGAAAATACCAAAATATGATTATTAAACGACAATTTACTGATAATTTATTTAGCAAAGACATTAAATTGACAAAGGCTGTATTTATATTTTTACTATATATTATAAAAGATAAATGCTAAATAAAAACGTATAAATACTGTTCTTTTGAACATTCAATTTATCAAAAAAAAAGATCAGTTTCCACAAAAAATATTAAGCAGCACAACTGTTTCCAGCAACTGTTTCTTGAGCACCAATATAATGTTTCTTGAGCAGCAAATCATGACACTGCATGTGACACTGAAGTACTGATGCTGAAAATTCAGCTTTGCCATCACAGGAATAAATTACATTTAATATATATTAAAAAACAAATTGGTTCTTTTAAATTGTAATATTATTTCACAATACTGTTTTACTCCATTTATGAATTAACAATTTTTTTAAGCTTATTTCCAATATCAAATGGCAATACGTGTGTGTGTGTGTGTGTGTATATATACAGTGGGGTAAAAAAGTATTTAGTCAGCCACCAATTGTGCAAGTTCTCCCACTTAAAAAGATGAGAGAGGCCTGTAATTTTCATCATAGGTATACCTCAACTATGAGAGACAAAATGAGAAAAAAAAATCCAGAAAATCACATTGTAGGATTTTTAAAGAATTAATTGGTAAATTCCTCAACTGAATGAAATCACTTGACTGAAAGACATGGTATTAAACCATCCCTATCCCTTTGCCTCATCACATCCTAGGTATTATTTCAAGAAAGTGAGCGATGAGTTTGACTGCGGAGTGGTGTTCGAGGAGGTACGCGAAGACGATGCCATCCTGCCCATCTTCGAGGAGAAGATCATCGGAAAAGTCGAGAAGATCGACTGAGGGGAGGGAGGCAGGAGGAGAGGCACTCGGGCTGCAGAGGCGCAGCAGGATATGGAGAAAAAGAGGAAGCGGCGAGCAGGTGCTGAGATTGGTACAGCGAACGTGGATGTGCAGGAGAGCGAGAGGTGCAGAACAGGGACGGTTGCTGTGGAAAGTACACTATTTACTCCGAGGCGTCTACCTCCGCACAACGGCTTTTAAAGTCATACCGCTGCTCAGTGCTCAAGATCACTGCATTGTGCACGGAGAGCCCTTGGACTCACCGAGACGAAAGCGTGAGGAAGCATTCTCACTTTTGCTATATTTCTAACTGAAAAATGTAATGTAGCAATGTAAAGTTAGCTTAGAAAAAAGTACTATGAATGTTTACTAAAGCTGCATATTTTTGATAATACGTATCAGAAGGAACATATCCTTTCTAATTTAACAACTCTTGTAATTTTTATATGTACTGGTACCAGATGTGTACAGACTGTCTGTTTAAAAAGGAAAAAGAGAAAGTTTTATATCTATTTAAATATAAAAAAAAGGAGAAAAAAAAGAGGAATCGGTTCATCCATATCAAAGCTGCAGCATCAACCTGACCCAAGATGGTGGTTACGAAGAAATCACAACCCACGCTTTACCAAGTGCTTTTAACTCATAAAACCGGTTTGTTAATCATAGAGAGGGAGGAGTCAGTCGACGCCAACGCACTTTTCACTGCATTATGCATTGATGTCAAAGGAGTACCGCTTTGAGCGGATGTCCTATACGACGATGCCTTCACATTGCTCTCTGTCCTTCATAGATGTCATGGCATGCATAATAATTCCTCCCCTCTTAGTGCACAGCATGATTTAAGAGCAAAGGATGTAGTGCTGTCAAACAATTAATTGCGATTAATCGCATCCAAAATAAAAGTTTTTGTTTACATAATATAAGTGTGTGTACTGTGTATTTATGTATATATACATACACACCCATACAGTATATATTTAAAAAAATATTTACATGTATTTATTTATATTCAATTTATAATATAAATAATTTATATATAAATATATTTATTATAAACAAAATTTTTCTTGAATATATACATGCATGTGTGCATATTTGTTTATATATACATAAGTATACACCGTACACACACTTATATTATGTAAACAAAAACTTTTATTATAGATGCGATTAATCATGATTAATCATTTTACATCACTAAAAGGATGAGTGCGCCAATTTTATGAAACTAATATCTGTAGTCTATAGTTTATATCCAAAATCTGTAAGGTCGCTTTCCAGGTGTTGAGATCCGCAGCAGCGCTGACGCCGGTTTAAGAGCGGGTGAATGTGAGACTTGTGGAAGAGGATGTGACGTCCTGCTTGTCCTGGGGTCCATCGTCTGTCTAGCGCCATCGGACAATATACTGATCATGTTTACACTTACCTTAATGTATTACAGAACAAGAAACAAATGGAGAATTGTAGCCTTTTAGCTTAGCACGGCTAAATGTGGTGCCTGGCGAGAATGAATTGTTTTAAAAATGTAGTTTTAGCCTAACGTGGTCTGCCTTGTTGAGATCATGAAACACCAAAGAGAACAATCTATCACAGGAGTCGAATAAAATCCGTTTGCGTTGTTTCAGCGACAAAAATTAAGCTCCTTCATAGAGTTTTCAGACTGTGTGTTGTAATGAAACACTGAGAGGTGTACTAACCGTTAGGAAAGCCCTGGCGAGACCGAGCCAGACATGGTGCTGTAACGTTAGAATGCTTTCTGTTGATCTGGCATCCCATTTTCCCCCTAGTTTTTACATTTTAAATTCCCGGTGTAGTTTGATTTAAGTTGCTGTTGTCATCAATGTTTGTTCAGTGATTTGTCATATGTGTTTTTTCCCCCCACGTTCAGTTAGAATTGTTTTAAGCTTTCATCAACTTGAACAATATGGGTACTTGATGCAAAATATGGAACATTTCTCATGTTTGTTTCGACTTATTTTAATTACGGTGTAAATGTCAACTGGGATGTAAAGAGTTAACTACTGTGAATAGCCTGGACGTGAGCTCCTCTCACTGAATGATGGATGGCCTGTACATAGACATCACAGAGTGCCTTTCTGACCATTCTCATCTCTGATCCACTGTCTGCTCTCCTCACTCCATGTGTCCAGTACCAGGGACTTGCATTATGTTTTTAAGTTTCTTAAGACCTTTTTTTGTTTGTTTTGTTAGTTTCCTATGCGAAGAGCATCAACACACTTTAAGTCTTTCTGTGTAAATATGTACATTTTTTTTTTTATGTGTCTTCAACTACAACCAGCAACCCAATTTGGATATTTAGTGCCCTGGTTCTGCTTAAGTGTGCCGAGTTGTACAGTTATCATTTTATGGTACTTTGGACAATAAAGACATGTTATAAAACAAATATGGAGTTCTCTTGTTCCTTTTTGCATGAATTTATATTTTATAAATTATATATATGTAGTTATTTGGGTTTATTTATCCATGCATTAAAGGGGTCATATGATGCGATTTCAATTTTTCCTTTCTCTTTGGAGTGTTACAAGCTCTTGGTGCATAAAGAAGATCTGTAAAGTTGCAAAGACTAAAGTCTCAAATCCAAAGAGATATTCTTTATAAAAGTTAAGAGTCAGCCACGCCCTCCTAAAATGCCTCGTTCTAACACGCCCCCACATACCTACATCACGATGTGGGAAGATTTGCATAACGCCGCCCAAATGTTCATGCAAAGAAAGAAGGCGTAACTTTTATTACTCTCGTAAGTACTTTTTCATTTAAAGGATTTGCCACTGATGATTCAAACGCGAGTTTTGGGCAGTAGAGTAGCACTTGTTGTTTGTCATTTCTCCGATCACAAATGCAGACAGGCTTTTGTTTACGCGGCGCGATGCAATGCAATGCATAAAAATACCGTGTAAGTCATTATAATCAGTAATTATGTCCCCACTGGATGCAACAAATGCCTCGTTTGTAATGGGTTTTAATGTTTTTGTCTCGTCGCTCCGGCCGGGACACGGCATCAACAGTATGGTGAGGGGCGTAACATTTCCGTTTCACGCTTGAGGTATTCGGCCAATCACAACGCACTGGATAACTGGCCAATCACAGCACACCTCGCTTGTTCAGCTTTTTTTTTTTTCCTCAGAAAGGCAATAATGTACAGTATGTGGAAAATAATGTTTTTTTTTACTTTGAACCGCATAAACACATTTCATTACACCAAATACACAAAATAATGTTCTTTTTAGCAACATCATATGACCCCTTTAAAATAAGCCTTTCTAAAAAAAAATTGTGAACAGATGATGGCGCTCTTGTTTCCTAGCAACAGTTTCGTGAGCTTCGCCAAGATCTCATAAAGCCTGTGCCTGAGGCTCCACATAAACATTGAATTATGACAGATCATATAAAATAATCTATTAAAAACGTCTTAAAACTGCAGTTCAGAAGGTTTTTGGGTAAAAATCAATTATTGAGCAAGTAAATAAAATCAGTGTTCAAAAGGTAGCCCTTGCCTTTTCCCGATCCACAGCGGCACGCTTATAATAATATGATTTATAATGTAAGCTGTCGGGTCGGATTTCGCGGGTAAAGTCAGTAGCCCGCGTTTTATCAAAGAAGCCGGCAAATGCAGCGCATGTTCGGTGAGAAGTGTCTCAAATCTGGCAGCTTGTAGGCATAATTTATGAGCAACATCACTAACACAATAAATCGTTGAAAAGCAAACCATTTAAGGAATCATCCGTAAAACTGGGAAACCTGGTTCAGAGGAAATAAAAACAACTCGTATCAATAATCAAACTTCAGATGGCGACAACTATGAGACTTCAAACGATTGAAATCCGACCCAGAGATGGACTTTTTCTAGCCCGACTGGTAAGATATCTGTCGTTACATGATAAAACAAATATGAGTGTTTTCAGTGAGTCAAAACAGAAGCAAAAGACAGTTACCTGCTTAAAACCCATATTCACGGATGTTCATATCTTTATTCTTTGCCGTTTTTAGGAGGTGACTGACTTTAATGTCGTTATTCTCTCAGAAACACGATCGCCTGTAGCGCTATAAACGAGGTTGCTCCCCGAGTAACATGCAGTTGTATGGCTCTATCGCTAGAGGGCACACGGTCTGCACTACCAATCTTGTCTTTTTCAACTTTTACCAAAACAACCTCCTTTTGTCTTTATAATTCGATATCTAAGTAGTAGGAACAGAGTCTTTGTGGACATATGTCCAGGCGCTGTAGGGACTCTGAGTGCTTTGTTAGGAGGCTTTTTTTTGTAGACGGCACTTCTGAGACTTAATGGCTTTCTAAAGAGGTCCTTGGGAAAAATAGCCACAAAAATGCATGGCTTGATGGACTCCTTTTAACTTGAACACATCATATAGTAGCTATAGCAAGAGAAAATGACTTGATTGGTTTCTGCTTCCACTGAAGAAAAATAATAAAGGTGCATATTCTGTCTTGCAATTGATTGAGCCTTTTCCCTCAACATGTGTTCAGCTCTTTCTTTCTTTGAGAGGCTGATGGTGCTGTTACGTTTCATGTTTTCTTCACTTTTCGCATGTGGAAGTACCTTGAGGATGCTTGTTGATTAAGGTCACTCTCTTGTATTGGACTTGCAATTAATTCTGGAACACTGTGCAGGGCTCAGGTTACGAAAACCGAGCTGCCTAATTGAAAAGGAAAGATCATTAGGGTGTTCTGCCGCAGTATCTAACCAAAGTCTAGAAGGACCAAATAAAAACAAAAAGACTTTCATTAGCAGGTGGTACATCTCCAGGATATGCACCGTTTTTTCTCAACTCTGGCCTTGATGTGCCCTCTGTAATCAAAGCAGCTGGGTAAATGTTTGATTTAAGGCCGTCACTCATCAAATACTGATCTGATGCTGTGGTTCACACCTCTGATTAAAGCTGGATCGGATCAGACCACCTGTTCCTCTCTGAGTCTCACCGGCCCCGTCTCGGCTTCATCAGTAATGATGACTCCTGCCCACTGTGGCAGGTATAATGTGTTTTTGGGCCAGTCGCTCTGATGAGAAGCTTTCTGGCTCCCTGTGGTTGTGTCAGAAACTGATTTTGTCGTGCTGTACGAGTTGTGCTCAGTGTGCCCGTTTTGTGATTACGCTGACCACCAAAAATCCGTTTTCAGCAAACAATGCACTCAAAATAGGAAGTGGGACCGGGCGTAAAATATGTCTTTGTATTATTAGCCTTCTGACAATATTCAGTATATATAATTGATATATCTGCAATGGAATTTAAAGTTCTTTCATTCAAAGGAAAATTACATAAATGACATAGTTTCATATTCAAAATATTTAATGCAAAATATGAGAAACAAATTAAGATACACTTTACAGTTCAAAAGTTTGGGGTTAGTAACAACTTCTTTTTCTTAAAGAAATGAAACCTTTTATTCAGCAAAGACACATTAACTGGAGATGACAGGGATACACAGTACATGTGCAAAATGCAAAATCAAGACCACTTATTTGCATACCGACCTGGCTGACAGCTGCTACTGCACAATCACCATTT